CCTGAACGAGCCTTCGAGAGGGGCGAGAAGGGAATTATATATAGCCCTGTACCAACGCAGAGCAGCTATCTGAACGCTACTCCAACAGAGGTCGATTATCTTGTTAATAATTTCACCTCCTCACTACGTACGACTCTGGATACTGTAGCTCCGGTGAAAACTAAGGTCTCTAATCAGAAGTATTTGACTCCGTGGTATAATTCTCAAACACGTAGCCTAAAGCAGATGACTCGTAAGCTGGAGAGGAAATGGCGTGTCACAAATTTAGAGGATCATCATTTAGCCTGGAGAAATAGTTTGCTGCTTTATAAGAAAGCCCTCCACAAAGCCAGAACATCTTACTATTCATCACTGATTGAAGAAAATAAGAACAACCCCAGGTTTCTCTTCAGCTCTGTAGCCAGGCTGACAAACAGTCAGAGCTCTGTTGAGCCAACCATCCCTTTAACGTTAACTAGTAATGACTTCATGAACTTCTTCACAAATAACATTTTTATCATTAGAGAAAAAATTACCAGTAATCATCCCACAGATGTAATATTATCTACAGCTACTCTTAGTACCATTTATGTTAAGTTAGACTCTTGTATAGGAATTTCCTTTACTTATGTATTAATCACATTATTTTGTTGTATGATGCCTTGGTGCCACTGGATTTTAACAAGTCTCACACTCATACAGTAAGACAAATGGTGGGGGTGTAGCAAGGAAGTTGGGGGAAGCAGACGACTCCACAGGAAGACTCTTTTGTCTCTTTGAGGACTCTGCGAGGTAGCAAGGGAGTGTGAACCTTAAGGTGTGAAACAGCTGTGTACTGCCTTTTGTTCCTGGAGAAGGTATTTAACTGAGAGCCATGCTAGGCTCAGACTCTGCTGACCATCTGCCCCGCGGTCATGTAGGCTCTCCACAAGCTGGGTTGTCTGTGCTTTGTGTTTTTTGTTTAAAGAATGTTAGCTACCACTCACCGCTCGTCTGCAGGCTTTATTTAATGGAAAACTTCCACAACACTCTTTTTCTGCAATTGATCTTTCTGAGTTAACTTCAATAATTACTCCCTCCAAACCATCAACGTGTCTTTTAGACCCCATTCCTACAAAACTGCTCAAAGAAGTCCTGCCATTAATTAATGCTTCGATCTTAAATATGATCAACCTATCTCTAATAATCAGCTATGTACCACAGGCCTTCAAGCTGGCTGTAGTTAAACCTTTACTCAAAAAGCATCTCTAGACCCAGCAGTCTTAGCTAATTATAGGCCAATCTCCAACCTTCCTTTCATATCAAACATCCTTGAAAGAGTAGTTGTCAAACAGCTAACAGATCATCTGCAGAGGAATGGCTTATTTGAAGAGTTTCAGTCAGGTTTCAGAGCTCATCACAGCACAGAAACAGCTGAAAAGCCTAGAAATATGGTATCTAAGCAGATTCTTACTCTGGATGGCATTACCTTGGCCTCCAGTAACGCTGTGAGGAACCTTGGAGTCATTTTTGACCAGGACATGTCCTTCAACGCACATATTAAACAAATATGTAAGACTGCTTTCTTCCATTTGTGCAACATCTCTAAAGTTAGAAATATCCTGTCTCAGAGTGACGCTGAAAAACTAGTTCATGCATTTATTACTTCCAGGCTGGACGACTGTAATTCATTATTATCAGGAAGTCCTAAAAACTCCCTGAAAAGCCTTCAGCTAATCCAAAATGCTGCAGCAAGAGTCCTGACAGGTAGAGCAGGGCGATATGGCCAAAAATATTTATCACGATATATATTTGAAAATTTGCGATAACGATATAAGTGACAATATAATTGATGCGAGATAAAATACAACTCCACAACATTACTAGTGCAAAAAGACAACCTTCCATTTATTTTCACTTAAACAAGAAGCTGGTTTTTATGTACATTAAAGCTTTATAAAACTGTAACAGTGCAAATGCAAATTCCTTGCTGAAAGTTTAACCAAAAGGCATTTCCAGTAGAAATGGGCTGACATATCCTGAGCATAACCATGTATAATATCCACTGAAGTTAAAAAGAGGTGCTTTGCAACATTAAACTGCAGTGTGCAGTACGTATTTTTCGGACCATAAGGTGCACGGGATTATAAGGCACATTAAGCGAAACAAAGCAGTCAGATAAATCAAACTTTATTAAACTCATTCTTCTTGCTTCCTCCACTTCTGTACCATTGATTGATTAATGTTGAATTCTATCACAGCTGCTCTATTCCCATGTTGTTGCAGTATATTAATGACTAACCTCGTATTGTGGATGGATTATCTCAGTTGTTCTCCTGACTGAAGTTTGGTCCGTTTACAGCATCCTGTCATGCGATTGCATTTGTCCCTAACCATCAGGAACCTTCACGTTAACTTTTATAAGTGGAAAAGTGTTAGTGTTTGTCCTCCAGCTTCACTATGTTATGCTAACATAGCTGTGTCACTAGCGATCACGTAGCACATCATTATATACCAGCTAGCCCAACTTCAGTAACCCTACAAACGTCACTGCTGTTTAGTTTCCTGTCTTCATTTATGTTGGAAGTGATAGCAGAGCTGTACGTTTGATTTTTTTCAGAAATCTCTCAGTCAGAACATGCTATATCATGCTTAGGTAACTAGCGAAACTAGCGAGCTAACTTCCGCTAGCTTCCTGCTAACTTCTAACTCCGTTAAATGTAATAACTTTTGTTTTCATGGATGCCTGGAAGTTAAACTTTATAGTTACACCTGGTAAAGCAGCAATGCTGATCGTTTTATTAAAGATGAAAGAATTTAGACAGTTTTTAACTCTAAGTGATGCTGCAGTGTTGTTTGACCTGAAGAATATGGAGTTTAGGACCCAGATTACTCCCAGATTTAAGAGCATCTTAGTCCGACAAATATGACAATAACGACGGCCGCTTGCATGTTCTGCAAAAAATGTGCTTTGTTGTGTATCTGACGGACAAACACCAAACCAGTTCCACATCACGGAAGTTGCACCATTTTTACAAACCAATTCTGGTTCATCTGTTTCACTCAACAATCGGCCATGTGCGTATGAAAACAAAGGCACTGCGCATGCGCGTTTTACTCCCATTCTATCGCGATATTTCATTTTCCTATCGTTGCCTAACATTATACCGGTATTACCGTGAACGGTATAATGTGGCCCAGCCCTACTGACAGGGACTAGAAAGAGAGAGCAGATTTCTCCTGTTTTGGCTTCCCTTCATTGGCTTCATGTTAAATCCAGAATTCAAAATCCTGCTCCTCACACAGCCTGGTTCTGGCATCTTCCTGTTAAAAGGGAGTTTTTCCTTCCCATTATCGCCTAAGTGCTTGCTCATAAGGGGCTATATGGTTGTTGGGTTTTTCTCTGTATGTATTATTGTAGGGTCTACCTTACAATATAAAACATTATATAAATAAAATCAAATTGAATTAACATTACAGGGTGCTATATAAAATGCACAAACAACTGAAGGAGGAGCATATGAATCCTGCTTCCAGGTCCAAACTACTCGTGGAGATATCATCTGAATTTCAGGAGCGGGACCACTCCTCCTTCACGCCCCCTCCGGCTTCAGCCTATAAAATCCCCCCTTCTCCAATACCTGCTGTTCTCCCTAGCGAGCTAACTTCCTGCTAACTTCTAACTTTGTTAAATTTAATAAATCCTGTTCTCATGGATACCTGGATGTTAAACTTAATTGTTACACCTGGTAAAGCAGCAACACTGATGATTTTATTACAGATGAAAGAATTTAGACAGTTTGTAACTCTCAGTGATGCCACAGTGTTCGTTTGACTTTGGGACCTGAAGGGGAGTTTGGACCTGGAAACGGCTAATGTCGTCAGACTTAAAGACCAGATTGTCACAGACATAGTATAAAAGATTGACATAGCTTCCACAGTTTGGCCAATCAGTGGTGTCACTCAATGAGTCATAAAAGCCTCTCCTTCACGAAAATCAAAATCACCATTTTTGAAACTTTGCAACGAGAGAAATAACTACACAAAGAACAATACGCTGGTCTCTGAGTCTGACAAAAAGCTGTACACAGACCATTGCCTTCACGTGCTCCTTTGTTATAGTGTTGTGTTGCATATAAATTACATCACAATAACATGTAAAGACTCTGGGCCATTTTGTTATAATGACCCAATGCACACTAGGTGGTATTGAATTGTAATGGAAAATGACGTAGTCGAGTTGAGCTGAGTAGGTACTAGTGGAAAAGGGCTAATTGAAGTCTATGGGAAACAGGCCTCTGTGCTGAACCTGTAAACACTTCCCAGCTGAGTTTACAGGCTGTCTCTCATTTTAGGTCATACTAAATACAACATTACGTTCGCTGTGTAAATTTTGGTCATTTGTGTGTGAGAAAGGAGGGTGCAGGGTGTGTCCAGTTTCTCAGTCAGATGCACCCCTCCCTCATCGCGTCCAATTTCAAAACACCAAGATGCCTGCAGCAAAAACGCTTCATAATGGGTTTTCACAAACCAGTGGATGTCAAGGTAGCTATATCCATTTTCGATACTTTCAGTGGTCAAAGTAACTTATCTAGAAAGCTAAACAACACTTTTTACACCGAGTAGTCATGCCTTTACTTACATACAGTATGGTGCAAATGGTGCAGGTGCTAAAAAATACCCCATGTTCTCCTCAACACATTTGCTCACACTTTGCAGGGTACTTGAATTAAGGTATAGTTCCAGTAAAGCACAACAAATATAGAATTAGCAGCTCAGATTATCACATTCAGCTGAATAGCACACTGATTGTCAAGAGTCAGATTCAGATGACTGATCACCAGAAACTACATCTCCCTACACCTGCTCATGGCTCTCTTAAAAGGGTTTTTATCCCCACACTCAGCATGCTATTGCTGTTAATGCTTCACCGCTCAGCCTTTGTCTGTTTTACTTTCCAAAAGGCTTTAGCAGGCAGACACCCTTGTCATAAAAAGGTAATTCACTATCTATAGGGCTGATACAGTGTGTCAGACACTCACCTGCTCTACTGGACAGGTAGAGTTTGGTACAGAAAGACTTTTCTCCCACTTGTCCGCCATGTGGTTGAGTTCCTCTAGCTTTTGCTTGGAGCTTTTCTGTGTGTTTAATAGAGTCACTTCATAGAACCCCTGGATATCTGTGAACATACACATGTTAAATGATGTAGGGGCTGTTGACAGTTGATTGGCTTAAGTGGATGGTAGATATGTCAAATGGTGAATGGGCTGATTCTTATACAGCACTTTTCTACTCTCCCGGAGCACTCAAAGATCTTTACACAGCCTCATTCACCCATTATTCACACCATTAATACAAACAGTTCTTTTTCTAAGTGCTTTCTATCTGACATTCACACACATGGATCCACGTGGATGGATGCATCAGAGAGCAAGTTGAGGTCAACAAACAACCTTGAGTCCGCAGCTTGGACCTTTCTGTCAGAGCTGCAGACTAAAGGTTGTTTTTGGTAGTGTTTGAGTGTTAATAAAATTATCTTTAAAACTGCAAAACCCAGGAAGAAAATGTCCACAGAAAATATGTGGTCTTATCTGACCGGGCAGGTAGCTGCACTTGTGCAAATATATCCTGGTATTTTGCATGAATGTCAGTTTGAGTAACTGCAATACTTTCACTGCATTCTGTAGCTATGAACTGAACATCTGTTAGGTTGTCTTTACAACATATAATATAAAGCATTTGCATTTTGTGACTCAAGTGAACTTTTTAATATTCGGTTAAAGTGTAAGTAAGTAAAATTGATTTATATAGCACTTTCCACAGATAGAAATCACAATGTGCTTCACAATAAAACAATAAAACCAGAAATATAAATAAAATAATATGAAACAATGAAAAGCTTGTTTGTATAGAAATGTCAGCTGCTTTTCAAAGGAGTCAGTCTAGACAGCGTAAAGACAATGGAAGAGAGTTCCACAGCCTTGGTGCCTGAAAAACCCGATCCCGATGAGTGTTTTTATTTTCAAAGTGCAGGAACATTTTTTGAATGGCCAGCCATGTTTTACTAAAGAATCAAAGCCGTGGCAAGTGATCTGGCACTATGGCCTTTTACATTTACATTTAAATGGATATTAATAAAAAGAATGCATTAGTATTCACAACCAGACACTAAATAATGTTTCTGCCCCAATCATGTAACAATGTTTCCATGCATTTCTGTATTTAGAAATAATAAATCAACTTTTTTAGCCCATTAAGAAATTAATGGACTAAAAACTTTCTAGATGTATATTTTGAAATACACTAAGAACAGTCACAGTTCAATTTTTTATCATTCAAATTAAAGCAGGCTTTTACAGAAGCAGATGAATGCAGGGAAATTTATGCAAATCCCCCAAAGCTCTTGAAATAGTGTGGTGAGTAAATGTGTAAGTCTCTATGAACCAGTTATTATTTGTCACTCAATTATTTTGAGAGAATCAAGATTCAGAAATATACTGTATGTCAACTATGCATGTGTTAGGGTTTGTTAGGGTTTTCAGACATTTAAAGAATGTGTTTTTTGTGTGTACCTCAATGTTAATTCAACAAGTTCTGAGATAAACGCTCTCCTTCATATAATCCAGTGCATTTCAAAACTATCCACTGTTACCATGGTAACAGAACATTGTAACATGTTATTCATTTAACCTCCTAAGACCCGAACTCTTCCACGGCAGCATTTTTAATTTCCTTTTGGGCTGATTGGGACCTGATAAATGTAAAAACAAAGAATTACGTGATTTTTTTTTTTTACCTAATTTTTGTTCTAAGAAAAATGAGAGCCACATCTGAGGATATTCGTTTAAAATTTTGATAGAACAGTAGCAGTATAATGTCCTCGTAAGTGGATATCAGACCCTTGTGGAGCAACATTGAGTATTTTGGTCTAAATAACCCAAAATGTGATGTCCCCATATGTGGACGCCAGGTCCTAGTAGGTTAAAAAAAGCAACCACAGCCTCAGTTTTACCAAAAGTAGCAAAAATAACTCACACATGCAGTGAAACCTCCCGGTTCTCCCCTCATGTTGCAGCACTGCTGTCTCATGAAACAGTGTTGCTGTGCTGCGAGAGGACCAGATGCCAAGCTAACAGCATGCCTAATCCTCAGACACAGAAGCTCCCTGTTCTCTTCAATACAATGACCTTACACCCCACATAGCTGATTTCTAATTCAGCTCTCATCTGAATAATGCTCATAACGCATTTAGCAGTTATTTTCAACTCTCCCGTTAATGCTCAAACCTACATTTTTTCAAATGGCTAAGTGTAAAAATTGCATCACTAAATGACTGGCACAAGACTGTCTAAGAGTTATTTAAAATGGAAAAGATTACCATCTCTAACAGATTTCAAACAAATTTGTTGAGATTTGGGATAAATGGAAACATTACATTTTGTCAAGACGATCTATATGGTTGTGATGATGAATTGGTTCTTGTGGGGGGAGTTGGCAGACAGTACCAGAAGAAGATGCTTTAAGTGCATGTGATTATGCATAGCAGATGTTGACAGATGTTTTATATCTCTGCCTCTGCTGATTTGACTTTTTGCAAACATTACATATTACTTTGGTTTTGTCTGCAGCACTGAGTGTAAAATGCTTCCACACAGAACTTGAGTTTTTTGGCCGGTGGAGGACCAAGAGGTGCTCAGCAGCAGCTACACTCTTTTCTATTTGGTTGCCCAAATCCATGTGGGGAGTTTCAGCTAAGTTAATGAGTGACGGGAAGCTACGCTAAGGTTAACTGGCCTACGTCTTGCTGTCTGCAAAAGACAGAGTAACTTAAACGTACCATATAACTCACACAAGTGCATACAATTCAACACAACTACACAAGCATTGTTTTAACCTTTTTAACCGAACGTTAACATTACTCTGTCAACAGCCTATTGTCTAAATGACCAAGCTAACAGAGCTACGTAAACAGAGCGAACATGAGAGACCCGACTGCAGACGTCAATAACGCAGCGTAATGGAAAAATCTCCCGATCTTCGCAAAAGTTATAAACTGCCTCCGGAACCCAGTTAAGGTACAAAAAAAATCTATTCAACAAAAATAATGATGCAGTTCAGTCTTTTTTGGCTCAGCCGAGCCTCTCTGCAGCCAGCTGTGTCAGTCACGTCACTCACTCATCCATGCTCAAATTTTTTTACGTGCGCTCAGAATAGTGGCACAAAAATAACGCCATACATTTGCCGTTAGTAATTTCATAATTCTAGGAATCGTCTAGTTTGCTGACACTGATCATGTTGGCACTCTGCTTGCGTTACAACAACGGTCATTTTTAAATGTTTTTTTATCGTGATGTGTCTGTTTACTGGCCCTGGTTTAAGCGGAGCTGGATTAAGGGCTTCTGTGGGCGACATGACAAAAAATACACATTTTGCATTAGAATATGATTTTTTGTTGGCATCAGAGACTGAAAGTAACAAAGTACAAATACTTCATTACTTAAGTAGAATTTTCTGGTATCTGTACTTTACCGCTGTACTTTTTCGTGCCTACTTTATACTTCTGCTTCTTACATTTTAGCACGAGTATCTGCACTTTGTACTCCCTACATTTTCAAATCAGGGTCATTACACTATACCCCCCCCCCGCTGCTTTGCAAGATTACTTTAAACTTTTGTACAGTACAAAATACTGTACTTCTTACTTCCACTTGAGTAAAAAGTTGAGTGAATACTTCTACTTTTAGTCGAGTATTTTTAAACAGTGGTATCTAAACTTTAGTAAGGAATGTGTGGACTTTTGACACCTCTGGTTGGCATTTAGTGGTCAGTTTAAAACGCATTTGTTTTTTGCTTGTTATCGAACAAATTCACTTCACTACTTTTCACCTTCAGTAACATCAATGCACATCGTTCCATTCACTGCATATTGCACTTTATTCATGTCTTTCATTCCACCTGCATCAACATTGAAAAGTTCGTCAGAAAGCGATTTATATATTTATAAATACTAATATTCTCTATTCTATGCTCTACTGCTTTTTTATTGCCCAGATTTGAGTTAGCCTTTGTTAAATTGTCTGTTATATGTCAATAGATATGTATGTTACAAAAAACAGAGTGTCTGGTAAATTATGTTTTTTTTAAAGAATTGTCTCCCCAAATCTTTTACATGCCAGAGGATGTTACAATGGGTGGTGCCTGTGTAAACTGTAACTGTATTCAATAAAAAGGCTGCATGGTAGGCTGTTTATTTGAAGGAAACAGGTGAGGAGCGTTCAGCTCCAAGATCCTGGTTCCGACCAGCCTCCCTTGCTAGCAAGTAAAATCGATCAATTGCTGTTCGTCTTGCTTCGTTAACGGGAATAAGTTTCTAAACCAGCAGGGCCTGTGGAGGCGCAGACCCAACATAAAGTTATAAATATGCACTTCTTTTCAGCACTTCTGCAGTCTCTTTGTTGACTTACAAGTTGCTTTTCACATTGTACAGTTCAGTGCATTCATCAGCTAGAAAAAAGTGTGTTTTCATTAAATATATTTTTATTTCCTATTCACCACATTTCTTGACAGCTCTAGTGATCCATACCATTTTGCCTTTATTATTGAGGATGGCTTGGATGTTTTTGTTAACACGTGCAATCTGATTGTTGGATAAACTGATTACATTCTATACAACTACTTTGAACTTACATGTGGGGGTTTTTCTCTCTTACAGACAAAATGATATGCTCATCATACATCATACGGCGTGGGGATATGGCAAGGCATTTATTGTCATGTCAGCATTCTTCAATGACAAGCCAGCCACCTCTATCAGGACTACTGCAATCTCCGAGGAGCCCCGCCTCCCTCCCTCTGCACTCTCCGAGGAACCCCGCCTCCGTCCCGCTGCACTCTCCGAGGAGCCCCGCCTCCCTCCCGCTGCACTCTCCAAGTATGCCGTTATTTTTGTGCCACTATTCTGAGCGCACGTAAAAAAAAGTTTGCAGGTGCAAGTGTTGTATTTTGAGGAGAAATTTATTTTGAGCGAAGAAAAGCTGAATTTGAGTGAACAAAATTCATTGCTGCGTGCAAAAACTGTATTTCAGTGTTTGCTATTATCCACACACACACAACAGCAGCCCCTCTCGCTCAGTTTTTGCATTTGCGCTTGCTCGCAATGTGTTGCTCGCGCTGTCAACA